AGTTTACAGAGGGGAAAAGAACCATCAATTTCTTTTGAAAATCTGTAAAATTTGAATTATAATGTCCCCAGCAATTTACAGATAAAAGCTAGAGCCCAAAGCAGAGTTATAATCTCTTACAAAAACTTCAGTCTTCATAGCCAAATATATAGTTATACTTACAAAGGTAAATCTCAACAGATTTTTGTCTCTATTGAAATACGTACAAAGTTACATAAATTCAATTTTATTCCTAGGGGTAGTATGATCAAAACCAACAACAGTGGCTTCTGCATTCCAGGACTTGGATCCACGTTGTATCCTCGATAATCTTGTGATCTCAACCAAATTACTTTTTCATAAAGGCCTCAACTTCTTAAATTTCCTTGCATCAGTCAAGGTACCAGCAGACAACCAAATTTACACCCCAAAGGTTCAGAGAGAGAAAGGCCTCAGTGTCTCCTCATATAAAATGAGGAAACTGGTTTGAACGCTATCTTTTAATTCTAAAATGTGATGACTCCAGTGATTTTAGATACAAACACTGAATGACTGATGACATTTTATTTCAGTTTTGAATGTGTTTAAAGTTCAAATATGTTCCATATGTTAATGTATGAATATCACAATGAAATAAAAGTCTAAAGGCCCCATCGTTGGTTTATAAGAATATATCTGCATGTGTTTGTGTGTGTGGAGAATGAGAAAAAGAGATACCAGGTGTATACTTTTCCACATATAAGATATGTAATTACTCAAAAATAGAAAAGATGACACGAGAGAATGATTTTGCTATATTTATCCAACTTGACTTGGATGATTGACTTAAAATCTATAAATTGACTTTGTGGTCTCATGTCTAAGTTACTAATCAACGTGGGATAAGTTTGGGATAAGTTTCAAACTGTTATACCTGGTCTTCCAATGTGGGATAAGTTTGGGATAAGTTTCAAACTGTTATACCTGGTCTTCCATAAAAAATGTCTATGTTCAAAGTAGATCAAATCAGCGGATGACCCCATCCTTATTCATAGACATCGAGAGATCCGGGTAATGTTGCTTTAGTAGATCTCTCCTGACTGAAGACATAACCCTTCATCGGTTTTTAGCCTCTTGTCTATTATCAGGCCGAATGTAACAGAAATTCCACCATATGCAGGCTGACTGTACCTCTTGAGGGTGTTTTTGGTTATACACAGAAGCATCATATTGTAGAAATTATGCCTATCAAATTGAAACTAGAAGCTGTAGCTGGCATCACTCTGCAGATGCATTTCCACTAGAGTATGTATGGTGTAATGTATGTACACCAACAAACTGATACTTAGTGTTCTCAGTCCTGAAAGCCCTAATAGTTGATGGCAAGTCATCCATTTGTTTCCAGACTACAAGTAATTTAAAAAATAATCTCTGCCATATTTTTTTTACAAAGTATACAATGACTATATTGGGCACAATTTGATCAATTAAAGAGAACATTATTCAGGCTACATTCCACAGTTCCAAAGAAGCAAGGGAAACTATCACTGGACTTGATATGAATTTTTCTTGAGTATTTCTGCATGAGCTACAAATGGATTTTTAAATTAATGTTTATTCAAGCTGTATCTTCCCTACTCTTGCCAAAAATAAAGTACTTTACTTTCCATTTACTAAATACAATAAAATTTTTACTTGCCAGTGCATTACCTAAATAATAATAGCATGGCATGAATAAACTCAGCAGGACCTGAAAACGATAAAGTAGTAACTATACTTTTATATGTTTATCAATCTTTTAGAATTACATCGTTCTTTAAGAAAATTGAAAAATATTTAACACATAGCGAAAGTTTGAAGATTTAAAAATAAATAGAAATATAGAATGCCTCTGTCTTTATTTTACAAGTCAAATGAGCTATTGTACTTTCAAGTCACAAAACCTGAGCAACCACTAAGACCAGGCAAAGGAAAGGTGGACACTTAATCTCAATAATGCTGTCAATGATCCACATTCTGCTCAACTAGACACATTACTTAGTTGAGAGCAAAGACTTTTGTTTGAACTGCAAAGGTCTGAGCTATGGAAACCTGGGTTATATCATCACTTTTGCTCAGGTGTGAATTTCAGAAAAAAAAGAAAATATAGCAACTCCGCAACCATACATCTGCATTCTGCCAAGGACTAAGTACAGAAGCTTGATTTGAAAATTTCTAGATCCTGTGAAAACAAACCAAAAAGGGGGGAGGGGCAGTTTTTACAAACTTATTTCCCCAAAGCTGCTTAATTTATTAGAATATAACCATTAACAGGATTTAGGAGCAACACTTTGAAATGTCTAATTCTCGTAAGGATAAGAACACTGTAAACAGACGCCACTTCCATTATATCACAAGCAAAGAACTATGATAAGACAATTCAAGAAAATTATAAATAAAATGAAGTCTTTATGTCCGATGAAATCTCTGATTTTTAATTAATCCCTACCATAAGGAATTAAAAGATGGCATCCCCTCAGGGTTTTCCCTAGATAAATTCAGTATCAAAGGGGTGAATTATAACAAAACCTCGTGTTCTTTATTTTATCTTATATCAAATTTAATCACAGAAAAGAAAAACATTCTGGTAGCTTTATAACACTTTATTTTTTAAAATAAAAATAGAAAATCATCTACTAGTGGTACAAACAAAAATCAGGACAAAAAAAAAAAAGATCCTGTTTATTATGTCAGATGTCTAAACAGAATGTAACTTTGTAAATGGATCCCTTGTCCCCTGACAGCAATATTGGAAGAGATGAAGAGTATCAATTACTATTACTAATCACATTAAGGGGGATGTGTTTCATTCTCCTGTATTTTATTTTGGTTCAGCTATTCATTATGGTTAAAACTTTGCACATCTTTTGAATACCTAACGACGACAACGTAAGTTGTCCAGTTACTTCTGGCAAACTGCATGATGTATAATGATGGCTTCGCAGGTTTTCTATTCTGGTATATGAACTTCTTTGCTCTGTGAAGAGCCTAACACCGTACATTAGTTTATTTATAAGCATATCACTTTGCCTTTTAAACAGCATGCCACAACAGTCTTCATACTGGCTGTCTTAAATAATCAGAATATAGAGCCAACCTCCTTTGATGAGCCAAATAAAGCTTAAGTGACAGCACAGAACATATGAGGTGGCTGTATAAAATATCTATAAATCTGCCACTTGACACGTCCGCTCCAAAGTTTAAGATTACACAATTTAGAATGCAAATGTCATTCAGCCACGGGACAAAACATCCCATCAGGCTGACTGCGGAAAAAGTAAACATTCTGCAGAAAGATCTCTTCACACACTTTTGCGCTACAGAATTTTCCAAGGACATTCCTATAGATCCAAATTTATTTGTCTGTGTTTATAAGTCATCTTGGAAAAGTAATATTATTGTAACTAGAAGGGTCCTTGTTTACCAAACCAATAAAAGTGCCAAAACCAAAACCAAAATCTCCTTCTAACTTCAGGTAAAGCAGTAACACAACAGATATAAACCCTCCAGGTAGTAAATTTCCGGTTAAAAGAAATAAGTAACTCCGGCTCAAGGGCATCACATATTTTCGAAAGCCATTTAATGAAGTCCAAGCCTGTATTTTCTTGGATTGCTTTGATTATTGGGTATAAAATCATGTTAGGTCTCTTTCTCCTTATCCAAATAGCTGCAGTAGAGTACTATAAGTACCAAATATCTCTTTAGGAAATTGATTTTTAAAAGTATGAGAGCAGTAAGGATTTAATATCTCTTTCCTTTACCATCTTAAATGAGCCCATCAATAACATCTTTAATGATGCCATAAAACACGTTTTTCTTCTGCTTTAATTCTTCTCAGATTGCACACGTCCACACGCAAAGCATACTTAATAGAATAACTATGATTGGATATTATTTGACAGTCATAAAAGTGTTTTTTTGAGATGAGTTCTCTTGATAAGATATATGTGGTATTTTATTAATGGGGTTGCCACAGCATCAGACACAGCAGTTTCCGAAAGATTTTACTTGCTCAGGGTCAGACCTTGGTGGGTGTGAAAAGTGAACTCTGTGAGCATTACATGTATCACACAAGCAAAACTTCTGAGAATAAATTTTCTGTTTTCTGAAGTTCATCTCAAAGTTCACATGCCTTTTCAAACTGTTTCCACATTTCACTGAGAGACAACGGTATCAAATATTCCATATCACCTTCACAGCGTCAGGATATCACAACGCAGACCGAAATTTTCTGGCACACAGTGCACCAAACAAGGACACTTCTGTTGCTTGGCTTAAATAATAAATGGGTCAATGCACTTTACTTTTGCTTACGGGCTTTTAATACCAAACCCGAGGAATGCAAGTGCTAACTGTGTATCCCCACAGAAGTCTAATTGTTACAGAGAGCGAAGTTATTAAAAATGTAGTTTTGCATGGTATTTGCATATCATCACATATCTTTAACCCAACATTTTTTGTCAAAGTAGTATTTAAGTATCTCAGACTTGGTACTCTATTTGCATGAACCAGCCTCCATGATCCCGTAAAATCCTCCATAACACATAACATAGCTAAAACTTTTAGAGTGTCCAGTTTGCACAGGCACCTGTAGTAACTTGAGAAGTTTTCTCTCTGGACGTAATTACCCACTAAGCAGCCACAGAACACCATAATTTCGGGTTAAAGCTCACCATCCAAACAATATATACACATTTATCCTGAAAACAGAAAACTAGGATGAATTAGTCCTGGCAAGCACAAAGAGATGTGCAAAGACACTGCCTGGCTTTGAATAGCCTGGTAGCTTACACCGGTCTGGGCACCTGCAAAATACAGAGGTGCACCTCGCGTAGATGGCTCGTACCCAACTGATGATCTAATGAATTAACGTTAAATTACCCCTATTAAATTTGTAAATGATGGCTTTAAGAGAGAGAAAACAAAACTTCACAGAAGGTGCTCTGTCTCAGAGTTATTAGCCTTTTTCTGGGATACTTAAATGTATCTGGAACACATCTTACCTGTTTGCTGTACTTGTTATTGGTCTGACAGCTGTATTCAGAGCAGTGATCTGATCCAATTGAGATGTTGTCTCCTGCTCCCACAAATGTGTTGGCTGGTGGTAGATCTTGTACGGCCTGGTGTTTTTTTCCTGCAGTTGGTGACTGGGGGTGAAGCTGGACAGTAGGCAATGGAGAACTAGACTTGTAATGCCTGGCCAGGTCAGGACTGCCAGGCCCACCATTAACGGATCGGTATCGCCCCATGCTTGGGCTGTCTGACAGCTTCTCGTTCACACTATCATACCTCTGTCCATTTGGTTTAGAAGCTTCCACAGTGACGATGCTGCTGTAGAGAGGCTGCTTAGATTTTTTGTTTTTCTTGTCCTTTTTAGGCTTTTTAGATTTGTCGTGCTGCTGGGGTGTAAAAAAGTCCTCGTGGTCCTTTTTGCCAGCTTCGTACCCATTTTTATTTTTGGACCGGCAGTACCTTGCCATCACTACAATTAGGATGATCAGAATCACTGTCATAATTCCAGCAACCACCCCAATGACAATACTGAGTCTCTGTTTGCTGATTTCATAACTTGGGTCACCGGCTATATCCTGGGTGAGCGGGGTGTGCAAACTTCTGGCTATCTGGGAGTCAATCACAGTCGCGTTGGAAACACTTTCATTGACAAACACGTGCACCAGAGTCGTGGTGGACTGGGAGGGCTGCCCGCTGTCATTCACTTGCACCACCAACCTGTGCAAGCCGTAATGCTTTTGGGTGAGCTTCCCCACCAAGGAAACCACACCACTGGTGGAATCAATCTCAAACAGCTTGAAGGGATTCCCTCCCACAATGCTGTAGTTGAGGTCTGCGTTGATGCCATCGTCGCTGTCCGTTGCCAGCACGGTGGCTACCACTGTCCTGACATTACTCGAAGGTGGCAGTAAAGTGTAGGAAATGTTTCTGGGAAGGGTGACTGTGGGAGCGTTGTCGTTCTCGTCCATCACAAAGAGAGAGACGGTGGCCGTGGCCGACCTGGGAGGATCTCCCCCATCCACAGCCTTGACCCTGAACGTGTATGTGGTCTGGTGTTCCCGGTCGAAGGACATGGTGGAGTAAATGGTCCCCGTGTCGTTTTCGATGGAAAAAATGTTGCTGTTTTCCTCTATGTAGAGGCTCATCTCCGCATTGCGCCCCTTGTCGGCATCCATCACCGTGACCATCCCCACAGGGCTGTTGGGCTGCAAGTTTTCTTTCACATAAAAGGTAAAGACGTCCTGCATAAACTTAGGGTCATTGTCATTCCTGTCAGCCACCTGCACGATCACCGTGGTGCTGCCCTGCAGCACTGGGAGGCCTTTGTCTTTGGCGTTGACTTTAAACTCGTACCTGTCCGTCTGCTCGCGGTCCAGCACGGTGTTGACCAGGATGTCCCCAGAATCGGGGTCGATGGCAAAGGTCCCCATCACGGCGGAATCCAGAGAGTAGGCGATCTCTGCGTTCTTCCCACTGTCGGCGTCGGTCGCCAGCACCGTGGCCACCCTCTCCCCAGGGACGTTGTTCTCGGGGAAGTAGACCTCCACCACCGACTGGCCGAAGACGGGCGGGTTGTCATTGGTGTCTCCGACCTTGACGACCAGGGAGTTGTTGCTGGAGAGGCTGGGGCTGCCCGAGTCCACCGCCACGATGACCACGTTGAATTCCCGGGTGGTCTCGTAGTCCAGGGGGGCCGAGGTGTGCAGGAAGTACTTTTTCTTGTTCTGGTCGCCCTCCGTGTCGCTGGCCGGCTTGAGCTGGAAGGGCACGTCCCCCACCACGGTGCAGGTGACCACCCCGTTCTCGCCTTGGTCGCGGTCGGACACCTGCACCAGCGCGATGGGGGTGTCGACCAGCACATCCTCGGCCACGTTGGCCACCCCGTCCTTGAGCGGGATACGCCCGATCTTGCGGATCTCGATGGACGGCACGTTGTCGTTCTCGTCCTTGATGCTGAGCACCACCGTGGCCTTGTCGGTCTTGGGGGGCTGCCCGCGGTCGCGGGCCATGACGGTGAAGCGCAGCTGGTTCACCTCCTCGCGGTCGATGCGGTGCAGGACGCTGAGCCAGCCCGACGTCTCGTCGAGGCGCAGCAGCCGCCGCACCGACTCGGTGGCCGCCCCGAACACGTACTCGATCTGCCCGTTGACCCCCACGTCCAGGTCGGCGGCGCGCAGCTGCAGGATGGGGGTGCCGGGGGCGCTGTTCTCCGCCAGGTCGGCTTCGTACACGCTCTTCTCGAAGCGGGGGCTGTTGTCGTTCACGTCGGTGATGAGCACCCGCAGGATGGCCTGGGAGGAGCGCGGCGGGTCGCCGCCGTCCCGCACCCGCAGGGTCAGCTCGTAGGAGTCGCGCTGCTCGCGGTCCAGCGCCCCCTTCACGATCAGCTGCGGCTGCTTCTCGCCATCCGGGGTGTCGGCCACCTGCAGCTCGAACACGCTGCTGCGGCCGCCGGGGCTGGGGTTGGGGGGGCCGCCGCCGCCGCCGCCGCCGCCGCCGCCGCCGCCGCCCTCCGCGGCGTCCGGGCGCCTCCTGGAGCCCCCGGGGCCGCCGCCGCTCGCGCCGTTCCCGCCGCCCCCGGGGTAGGGGGCGCTGTCGGCAGGCCCGGCTCGCCGGCCCTCGCCGCCGCCGCCGCCGCCGCCGCCGCCGCCGCCGCCGCCGCCCCCGGGCTCCTGCAGCAGCTCGTAGCGCTCGATGCCGTTGCGGCCGAAGTCACGGTCGGTGGCGGTGGGGAGCAGGTAGAGCGTGCCCACCGGCCGGTTCTCCTCCACCGTGAGCGTGAGCACGGGCGACGGGAAGGTGGGCGTGTTGTCGTTGATGTCGAGCACGATGACCCGACCCTCGAACAGGTCCACCCAGCTCTGCGAGGGCCCGATCACCGACACCTCGAAGTCCAGGAAGCACTCGTTCTCGTCGAAGATCATCTGACACTGGGGCAGCTTCTCGCGGTCGATGCGCCGCTCGCTGGTGCTCAGCTCGCCCGTGAGGTTGTCGATCTTCAGGTACTCCGAGCCCGACTCGAGGCTGAAAGTCACCTCGCCCGAGCCCGTCACGATGCCCAGGTCCGAGGCGACGTTGCCGATGCGGACGTCCGCCGGGCCCTCCTCGGCCAGTCGGTACCGGAGCAGTTGCTTGGCGGCCGCCAGGCTGAGCGACAGCGGCAAGAGGAGGCAGCAACCCAGGCACCAGCCGCGCGCCCACCCCGCGGTCCGCATCCTCAGCATCTTCTCCTGCTGCTGCTGCTACTGCTCCTTCTAGGCACGGCCCCCTCGGCGCCCCCCTCCTCCGGGGCCGGCCGCCGGCCCTCCTCCCGGTCCTCTTCTGGCTCCGGGAAAGGAGGAAGGGAGAGGAGGGAGGGGGCGAGAGCAGCGTGCGGAGTCGCCGGGGCGCGGGGGGTGGGGGGGGACCGGCGACAGATCCTTCTTCTTCTTCTTCCTCTTCTTTTTTTTCTTCCGCCTTCTTCTGCTTCTTCCGAAAGTTATTGTTCCATAATTCATGCAACGGGTGCTAATCGCCCGCTCGCCGGCCGCCGTTCAGGCGCAGTACTCACAGTTCACGGGACACTGCGCGCCGCGGGCTCGGCGCCCCCCCCGCCCCCCTCCAGAGTCATCCCCGCGGCGGGCGGAGGATCCCGGGCTCCCGAAGCCGCGCTCGGCCGGATGGGGCCGGAACCGCTCGGGCAGGCGGGCGCTGGAGCCGGGAAGCGGCGGGGAGCGAGCTTGCAGCCTCCTCCCCCGCCTGCCAACCCCGTTCGTCGTCGCTGCTACTCGAGTTGAGTCCAATTCACGATTCAGCCGCTCACTCCAGACCCAGCTCCTGCTCCGGCTGCCCAGGCAAACGTGAGTTGCTTCCTGCACGAGGCGCCGGGGCCAGCAACAAGCCGGTCTGAACTCTGACTCCGCTCTGGCAGCGGGGGAGCCAGGCAACAGATCGAGAATGAAACGGTGGGGGGAAAAAAAAAGAAAGAAAAGAAAAAAGAAAAAGAAAGAAAAAAAAAATCCCTGGCAGGTCGGTCGCTTCGGGCACCGTGCAGTGGAGACCACTCGCGTCACTCGGCGGTCCGCGTCCGGGTCCCCCCCGCGCGCCGAAGAGCAGCCCGAGCCATCTTCAGAGACGCCCGGAGAGTCAGTCCCTTCTCACCCCCAAGAGCTCGGGTTTCTCTTTTTCTCTTAACAACTCTGCGCAAGGTCATTAGTCACGAAGCCGCCGCCTGAAACCGCAGCAGCCGTGCGCCCGCGGGGGCGAAGGCTGAGCCGTGCGCACCGCGCGGTGCCCAAGTTTGGGTTCGCAGCCGCAGAGTCCGCGCCTTTCCTCACCTGCATTCGGCCCGCAATTCGGAGCCCTGGGATCTGCAGCGCTGTGCGCGATTCAGGGAGGAGATTGCAGCCTCTCTCTCTCGCTCCCTCTCTCCCCGCTCTCTCTCGATCCCTCCCCTCCCTCCCTCTCTCTCCTCCCTCCTCCTCCTCCTCCTCCTCTCTCTCTCCTCCCTCCTCTCCTTTCCCCTTTCCCCTTCTCCCACTCTCTCTCTCCTGCACGCTCCCTCTCCTTCCTCCCAGTCCCAGGGCTGGCAACTCGAGCTGAACTTGATCCCTTTGCAGTTCAAAGGTGAGCGAAGAAGCAGGCTCGGTGCTCAGGCGACGCTGGCCTGGCGACAAGCCCCCCCGGGGCCGGCCGGGCTCCCCCAACGGCAATTAAAACAAAGATGCCCAATGCTGTCCGGATTTCCGAAGAAAAGCCCAAAGGCACTGGGGAGGGAGGGGGGGGCGGGTTGAGCGGGAGGTGGAGTCAGAGACAGCTGCCAAGTAGCTTTTTCAAAAAAAAAAAAAAAAAATCCAGTTTGCCAAGGGGAGAAAAAGTGCCAGTCGGTTGTTGCCTCGGAAGTGCCCTGGCACGGCGGGTGAATTCCGCACTTGTCTCGTCCCCTTTCGCGTCTGGGAGAGTCTGGTGCGGGCGCGCTCGCCGCCCCTCGGGCTGCCCGGGCTGCAAGCCCCCGAGCGGCGAGGGGGGAGCTCCCGCTCGCTGGCCGCGAGCCGGAAACCCGCAAGTTTGCCCAAAGTGGCGGTTGCTGCCGGGAGCTCGCTGGCTGGCTCGCGGCTCGAGCTGGTCCCTTAAGCGGCGGCGGCGGCGGCGGCGGCGGCCTGGCCGCGGAAACTACACGCTCGCGGGGGGCGGGGGGGAGCAGGCTTGCGGGGAGGCCGGCGGGAGGGGGTGCTGGCCGGCCGCCCCGCTCCGGAAAGCCCAGCGTCACCCCCGGGGGCCAGTCGTCGCGGGCGCAACCCCAGCCGGCCCCGTCCCCCTTGCACCCCAAGCCCTCCCCCGTCCCCCCAGCGAGCGCAGCCGCCGTCTTCCCGGGGGACTCGCTTTCCCTCCCCGGGGCTGCTCAATGTCCTCGTCTCCTGACGGATGCCGAGTGCGCGCCCGGGAGCGCAGAAGCGGGCGCCGGGAAAGGTTTCTGTTTCTCCTCTCCCTTCTCAGACGACATTCCCCACCCCCTATCCCTCCCCCCCCCTCCACCCCGTGTCTCGGTTTCGCGATTTAGCATCTCGGTTAGGGCATGGTTAACGCTGGCTTGGGGGATCCCTCGTGCGCCCAGGGAGCCACGCTGGTGTTCGGAGACACCATGATGGGCTGCAGTGGTTAAGAGAGAACCTCGAACTCCGGAGAGCGCGAGCGAGCGAGCGAGCGAGGGGTCCTTTTTGGGGAGTGCGGACTCCCGAGGGCTGGGGTTGGGGGGTTGGGGTGGTGCCTGTCTTTGTTGAAATGCTTGGCGTTCGTGGCTCCGCGCTTGCCTTGGGGGTGGACCGGGCGTGCGCGCGCGCCTGGGGAACAAACACATGTTGGAAGCCTCGGTGTTATTTTCCGAGCAGAAACCTGCAGCCTTTAGTGACTGGCAAAGTGTAGCGTCACCTATCTGGATAAAAGGGAAATAAACTTTGATGGCAACTTTGTGTACCGAAGCGTCCCTAGTTCCGCGTCTCTCCTTCTTTTGACTTTGTGCCACTCGGTCGTACACGGTATCCCTCCCCCCCCGCCCCCACGCGAGGCTTCCCCGGTTTTCAGTCGCTGCCACCGCAGCCAGCCTCAGCCGATCTCAGTTCTGGTTGTGGGTTTGTGTGTGTGTGTGTGTGTTGTTTTTAAACTGTAGCCATTTGCTCATCCTTTTATTTCAGTGGCCAAGGGGGCCCGCCAGGGTGCAGGGGGCTGAGGCAGGCAGGAGATATTTGGGGACACTCTGAGCATCTCTAAAGAGAAACCCGGCTGCCGCTGCGATTTGCAACCGGTCCTCAGCTCGTCTGCCCGATCTATAGGCATCCAAGGGCCTCCCCTTAAAGGAAAATTTAAGACGAAAAGAAGAAAAGAGAAAGGAATCCGTCCAGAGTGGGTACTCCGCCTTTACCAGACCGGTGCGAGGAGGCGAAATGATTTAAACAAGACAAACACCAATAAAGTCTACGAGCAGCTGTAGCGCGCGGTTGTTTGGGCGGGCGCAGCCGGGGTGGGGGGGTGGGGGGGTGGGGGGGGAGGCGGCTGAGATTCCCAAGGTCTCCCTGTAGGGGATCGTGGCGGCGCGGGGGATCAAAGTGCCAGCGAGCGAGTATTTTCCAGTCCGCTAAGGCAGCTGCGCTCAGGGCGTAGTGGCCTCTCCTCGGGGCCGGGCCAGGCCCCCGGCCACCCCCACATCCCCCAGGCCGGCCGCCTCCCGAGCCTCCCGAGCCTCCCGAGCCTCCCGAGCCTCCCGGCTCCAGATCTGCAGCATCAGCGAGAAAAGCCCGGCGCGCAGACTCAGTGCGCACCGCCGCAGTCTGGAGCCGGGGGGCGGGGGCGGGGGCGGGCGCCGCAGCGTTCTCTTGGCCCGCCAAGTGGCTGTAGTGCTAAATCCCCTTCTATTTGGAAAACTCTGGTTTATCAGAATCCTTGCCTCCCACGACACCCGGCCGCCCCCCACCTTCTTCTTATTATTATTATTTTTTTTCTTTCCACGGTGCAAGGCGAACGAGGGAAGCCGTTTCTCCTCCGCGGCCTTGCGCCCGTGCATTCCGATGCGCGGCAATATGGTGCAGTGCGCTCCCTCCCCTGCGCGCCCGGACTAAGATTCTGCAAAACTTCTGGCAGCCGCGTGGGCAGAAGCGTCGTCCGCTTCCCCCTCCCCTCGCCAGACCGCAACTTGAGCAAGCCCGGGGGCTCGGGGAACGCTCGCCCCCCACCCACCCCCCACCCCCCGCTGCGGCGCGCAGCCCTCGGGCGCACCCCCGCGAGGGCGCAGGAGTGGGAGGCTCCCCCCGCCCCGAGCGCCGCGGATTTCTTCCCGGGGGTGGGGGTGGGGGTGGTGGCGGGGGGGGGGGTGCAGCGCGTCCTTCACAGTGGAGTGGTTTCCCCCTCGCGAGCCGGAGGCGGTCTCCAGCCCGCCCTCCCTGCTCATCCCTACCAACTCCGCCGCCGAGCCAAGCCGGCGTGGGAAATGGGTCCGACGTGTGCGGCATGGCGAGCAGCGCGCACGGCCGCCGGGGCCGGGGACCCCTCGGCTCTCCCCTCCCCCCGGCTCTCCCCCGCCCGCGACCCGTCCGCGGGGGCGACCAGCCGCCCGCTGCTCGGCCCGGGGAGCGATCCCGGGGCGGGGCGTGGGGGCGGGGCGCCCCGGCCGCGGTCGCAGCCCCCGGTCGTCCTCCGCCCCCTGTCTGGGGACTGACGCTCGGCTGCAGCCTCCCTCCCGCCGGCGCGGAGGATGAATGGAGGCGAGAAGCTGTCGCCCCCGCGCCCGCCCCATTTCCGCAGCCTTACAGCTATAGTGTCACAAGCGCTCAGCAGTTTCATTAAATGCGACTTGGGGGGGGGGGAACACTCGGTCCCCCCGCCCCCCCCCCCCCCCCCGGTACCGGACCTCACCGCGGGAACGTGCTATCCGGATTCGCTCCCGCCCGCAAACCCCGCCCGGGTTTTCAGACTCGCGGCGGCCTTTCTCTTCTCCACCTGGGAGGAAGGGGGCTCCGAAGGAAATGGGATCGAAAGTGTAACCGGCTGCAATAAATTAAAGAGCCCGCGGCGGCCGGCTCGGGCGGCCAGAGCCCAGGAGGGGAGTCGAGATCACAGTTTGCTAAAGCCGGAGGTGATCCGAGCGCGAGCTCCTCACCGCTTGCACCAAGCCAAGTATTTGAGAGAAGGTTGAAATGTTGGGCGCGCGTGTGTGTATGTTCTCCTTGTTGTTGCTTTTTTTTTTCTTTAAAAGAAATGCAAAGGGAAACGACCCCCTGCAACCAAGATATGAAAATTAAAATTGATTAAAACAGCAATGCTATCTGTCCCCCGTTCCAATAGACATTTGATCAAAGCTTGGCCAACGATTCCTTTCTTTCTTTCTT